CACACGCTCGCAGAGAGGGTGCGAGAGAGGAGCGACGGAAACATAATTCGGTGTGCCCCTGGACCAAACGATCGGCCCGATTAGTTTGCCGGTTCGCTCAGATCGCGGAACGCGGGATCGTCGACGCGATCCTTTCGTACAAGTGACGATTTACGATTTTTAATTCGTCCTTCGAGTCGACTCCACCGCGCGTCCACGGGAGAGCACGTCGTCGGACAGGATCGTCGCAGTCGTCCATCGTCGACGACCGTCCTGGATAGGTAAGTCTCACCACTTCAAAAAAAAAGAAAGCAGTGAAAAAAGTATTTGCTAGTGCGTTGAAACACCGGCGATAAGGGTGGAAAAGTGACGCGCACGTTCGCAACGCGTACGCTCGTACACGGCCTCTCGATCTGGTGATACCAAGTGATCAAGATCAGTGATTCTACTGCACTGTGCACATTCGCGAACGGACAACTCGTCGTCGCCGTCGTTATTCTCGTGGATTTTATGGACTGTGACAATGTGCCACGCCGCAGGAATACCTCGAATGTTCTCTCAATTGGAAGTACGTAAAATATATGTGCAAAGATACGCAAGCCGAGGAACGCGATCGGACGCGCAAAGTGATCGGCTCGGCTTTCGAGCGCGATCACACGCGCCGGTTGTGAATCGGTCGGACCAATCGATAATCTAGCCTCGAGTGCGAAAAAGCGTTTAACGCCCGTGACTTATCGGAGTACACCTGTTACGCGTCCTGTTTCGATCTCGCGTCCGAGCATTCCGCTCTCTCTCGAAAGAGCAGGAATTTCGTTTTCGTCACGGAACCGGTACGCGAGCGACATTTTTCCGGTTCACGCGACGGTCACGCGAAGATGAACCGGTCTAGGAGCGAGAGAGGCTCCGAGTCTAAATAATTCGAGTCACCGCGCCGCGTCGAGTACAATAAGCGTGCGTGTCGTCTTGCAGCCGAAGGCTAGTCGGACGCGCACGAACAGCTCGTACAATTAAAGAAACAGTGTGTCCGAATGCCGAGGCAAACGGCGCCGATACATGAATACCAACCGGGTGTATCTCCGAGTCTCCGTTCGAACGTCCGTGAAACATCGAGTTCCGTTCGGATCGACAAAAACTTTCGTCGCTACCGGATCGCGCTCGAATCGAATCGGGAATCGAGAGAGAGAAAAAAGGGGACCGTTCGATATCGTTCGTTCCGAGCGTACAAAAGGGGCGAAATTGTATCGATATTTCCGTGGCAGGTCCCGAACGGCTTCGAAACGGAATTTAAAACAGGGCCCAACGCGCGCCGGCATAATGAGTCAGAAGGAATTCCAGGGAGCGGAATAATGGATCGTTCCCATGAGCGACACGCCGCTAACAGAAACGAAAAATGTAAACTAGGAGAATCTATTGAGGCGCACGGACCCCTTTGTATCCCGTCGGCGTAAACGGCATAAACGGGCTTCCTTTTCGACTACGAACGCGAACGAGCCTCGAATTCCTGCGGTGAATCGAATTCTGTTGCTCGTTCGAATCGAGAGGAACGACCACGACGACGAGAAATCACCGCGTTGCACCTAGCCAGTAGAGATTAAACCGCGAGCGTGCACGAGTTCGTTCCGAATCCGGCTGGAGGAGCGATTCTGCTCGCTGGGAATAAAGCGAACGAATTTGTCACGGTCGGAGTACGCCGGAGAAGTTGCGATTGCATTAGCATCCATGATCAGTACGTAGACGAGCGAACGTGCGCTTAACCGATCGTTGAATCACCTTTGCCAGGAAACGGGGGATTTCTAATCAACGAATTACTTTGTTCCTACCTATCCACTCTGTAATAACAACGACCAATTAATTATGCGACCGCGTTATCCGTTAATTATCTCTGCTCGAGATACGACGCGGTGTTTCTATTTCACGCCCAGATATGAATTTCCATGAGCGCCTTTTCCTCGCCAAGAGTTCGATAACCGAATGCACCCTCTTAGCTTTTCACTTCGTTTTCTTTCTCAACGAAAGCTCGCGTGTTAAATCTTCGCAAGATCCTCGCGCAAACAATAACGCTGATTATCCGGCTTCTTGTCCGTGGTTCATCCGGCTAATTGCTAATTACTAAACGCTAATTACCGAGACCGGCCACGAGACTGGTCCGCTCGTTAGACGCAGCGACGAAAATGAAATAGAGTAATGGAGTGTAAGTAAGAAGCGATCGTAAGCACGCAATCTGTGAGCAATAGCCATGGAGAATCGATCCTTCTGTCCAGTTAATTGCGATCGCGTCGCGAAAGAGGGAAGCCTGAATTTTTTCGAACCCTCGTCTTTTTTTACGCGATTCGAGGTTTAGTATTGTGGCGGCGTGGCGGCGACGATTAAGATTTCGCGGACATAGCCGGGTAAAAAGGAGAACGGTTCTTTTGAAGAAAAGAATCAACCGCAAGCAGGTTTCGAGCTAGGCGTGCCACGAATTAATTACCACCGGTAATAACTGGCTCGAGCATAGTTGGCTAGCTTTTTATTTTCTTCCCGTCTACTTCGCGTCTCCCCCTTTTCGCGACGGGCACCTCCTTAGCTGTTTGCTTGGCCAGACTCTGTTTGCAGCTTTCTTTTGTGCCTGTTACTTTTTAACGTAGAGAACCGTCAGCCGTGAAAACCAATGTCGCACAACTTGTTGGAACGACACGCGATTAGCGTTTGCTGCTCTTCACCTGCTGCCCCAAATACCAGAAAATTCAGGAAAATTTCAACGCTTTATATTTCTACTTTAAGCTTATTTTTTAATTTACTTCGATTTGAAAATTATGAAATTTGTCTTAAAACCAGAGATTCGTGTCTTCATCCTTAAGCTGCTATGAGATCTTTGCAATTATCTTAGAATATCAGCCAAGTGTCAACTGTAGTTTGTGTTAACTTCTGTGTTTCTGTGTTAGTCGAAGAGTGTTGTCAAATGCATGATCCGATGAAAATCGCAGTGAAAGTATTCGTGAATGTTGAGCAAGAATTCACGCTGCTTGTTCCTCGAGTCGTTTGAATCACGTAGGTAAACGAAACGGTAAAAACTGAGAGATGCGGCTCGTGTCGCGCCACGAAATCGGGTCGTGCGACCGACCGGTCGCTTTTTTCAGCAGAAAATAGTCGCTCGATCGTCTTCGACTTTTCGAACGTTCCTCTGCTGAATTTTAATAACACTCCGAACTTTGATCCGATCGAGCACATCGGGAATTTGCGAGAAGAATGCCACAGAATTCGAGACTAAAATGAAAGATAAAATAGATGTAATTGTAGAATTTATTCTGTAATAGCAAATTATCAATTACTGAATGACAGAAATTTTGTTTGTAGAATTTATTTGAAGATTTCTGTATTGATTATATTTGAAGATTTCTATATTGATTATATTTGAAGATTTCTGGCTAGCTTTTTATTTTCTTCCCGTCTACTTCGCGTCTCCCCCTTTTCGCGACGGGCACCTCCTTAGCTGTTTGCTTGGCCAGACTCTGTTTGCAGCTTTCTTTTGTGCCTGTTACTTTTTAACGTAGAGAACCGTCAGCCGTGAAAACCAATGTCGCACAACTTGTTGGAACGACACGCGATTAGCGTTTGCTGCTCTTCACCTGCTGCCCCAAATACCAGAAAATTCAGGAAAATTTCAACGCTTTATATTTCTACTTTAAGCTTATTTTTTAATTTACTTCGATTTGAAAATTATGAAATTTGTCTTAAAACCAGAGATTCGTGTCTTCATCCTTAAGCTGCTATGAGATCTTTGCAATTATCTTAGAATATCAGCCAAGTGTCAACTGTAGTTTGTGTTAACTTCTGTGTTTCTGTGTTAGTCGAAGAGTGTTGTCAAATGCATGATCCGATGAAAATCGCAGTGAAAGTATTCGTGAATGTTGAGCAAGAATTCACGCTGCTTGTTCCTCGAGTCGTTTGAATCACGTAGGTAAACGAAACGGTAAAAACTGAGAGATGCGGCTCGTGTCGCGCCACGAAATCGGGTCGTGCGACCGACCGGTCGCTTTTTTCAGCAGAAAATAGTCGCTCGATCGTCTTCGACTTTTCGAACGTTCCTCTGCTGAATTTTAATAACACTCCGAACTTTGATCCGATCGAGCACATCGGGAATTTGCGAGAAGAATGCCACAGAATTCGAGACTAAAATGAAAGATAAAATAGATGTAATTGTAGAATTTATTCTGTAATAGCAAATTATCAATTACTGAATGACAGAAATTTTGTTTGTAAATTATATTTGAAGATTTCCATATTGATTATATTTGAAGATTTCTAGTATCACTAATCCGTAGACATCCCAACATAAAATTTATGTGAGCTTCAAATGACTTTAATGAAGTAGAGACCATAGGTGTTAAAGTAAGAAAGCAAGTAATATCCCGTTTGAGGAACGTCAGCCAACACATTTTGAACGTGAAACAGTTTCAAAGCGATCGAGCATTAAAAGAGGCAACGCTATCGACCCAAACGACCGTCTATACGTTTGAAAAAAAAAAGAACACCTCCGTGGACGGTTAGTTCGTCGGACACTGGCCTGACCGCCGTTGAAAAAGGGCTATTAAAAATATCGAGCACGGAGACTGGACCTATCAACCCGTGAAATCCTGCATTCATAGGGCTGTTCAAAGGAGACACGATCAATTATTCATTCCCCTTGATGTCAGTCAAAAATTTAAACGATCTTCGAGGATTCTCTTCTTCCCTGTCAATTCTGAATGTCGCTTTCTTCCTAATGTCAGATCCATTTGAATATTGCGGTAATGAGTGCAACTTCGTCGTATTTGATATAATAGCGAATGCGTTATATGAATAATTTGATATCAAATATATTTGATGTTGTGAATGTAGCTGGACTTTAAATAAATATGGGTTAAGGTAATAAATATGGGTTTCATAAAGATTGAGGAGATTTTAAACAAGTTTAGGAATTTTTTCGAATTAGTGCAGGGCTCTTCATAAATTATCATCAGGTTCATTTCAAAATGGGAGTGAAGTGACTGAAATGTAACTGGCAGTTCATCTCTGTGGATCTATTGATCTATTTCAAGCTTCACTGGTTATTCTATAATTATTAATTTCGAATTGCGATGAAATTAGAAACTTCAGCCGACATGTTACCTCAGTTTTAATGATCTGAAATTTAGTTAACATCAATCTGACCTAGCCTACCCAATAATCCAACGTAGTCAATAACCTAACCTGACCAATATCCTAATTTAGCCAATAACCCAACCTAGCCAATAACCTAACGTGACGAATACCCTGACTT